CCGCGCGTCCTGTCTTATTTGTTCGGTCTGTGCAATGCACGTCTGTTCAAACCTTTATGTTCTGCCTAGATACACCGAAGGCCCCCGACACACTTATTGCATTGCGGGTTATCCATAATCTGCTTATGGAGTTAGTTTCGTTTTCGTGACACGTTTATGGAGTTCGAATCAATGGACCTTTCCTAATATTCCATTCCATGGAGAAGATGACCCCTCAGACACTCATTTGGTTGCACAGCACACACGTATACCAATTACCAGCATCTTATTTTTACTTATTTTGATTCAAAACAAACAAGTTAATATTATAAAAAATAAGCGAATTAAATTCATTGCATCACGTAGAACAGAGATTGATATCGCGACTTTTCTAGCACGGTGCAGTTTTCCATTTTCCATTCAGCCGAGCTGCTTGGTTTCTCCGAGCTGTGACGAAAACACGAGCTCCTCGGAAACGGGAGCAGCGAGCTTCCGAGACTGCCGAACAAAACAACTCGCCCACCGTTCTCGGTAGCCGCCTCTGAGCCGTCCAGGGCGGCCACTCGGCCAGCGGCCAGAGTCGCCACTTTACGGCCGCCCTCAGCAGAAGCCGAGGTGCTCATGACAGGCCGCCCAGCCCACACCCGACCGCCGCCACTTCAACACAAGAAGTCATCCTCCCATTGATTTTCCTTGCCTTTGTTTCCTCGAGACTCGCATAATGTGAACTGTCGATGTGCGCGCGCCATTGAGTCCGGCCGTTAGAGCCACTTGGGGCGGACAGATGGCTGGTGTGGTCCGTGCTGGTGGCCCAGTGGCCGGAACAAATGTCCAGCGCTCCGCCGTCTGTCCGGTCTGAGGTCCGGTGGTCCAAAAATACGGCGGTAGTAAGTCACCACGCACAGGCGAATCTCCGACTGCCAGCGGTCGCGTCGGCCGGGGGCTGGCAGCGAGATAGGTGCCCGAGAGGCCGGGCGCGGCCGACTCATCTGTTGAGACAATAAAAGCCACTTGGGCCGGCGGCCGGGCGCGCGCCGGAGGACCGAGCCATGGACGGCTGACAGTCCACCGTCGCCGTCAGATGACGGGCTTGTTGACTCGGCAGCTGAAGGGTGGCCCTCGGGAAAGGAATCGAGACAACCCCGGCCATCGACTCCCGCATCCCCCTCCAGCCCCGGTGTCTGGAATCCTTCATTTCCTCCTTTTCTCCTTCTCTTTTCTGTCTCTATTTCTCTCCTCCTCCCTCCTTCTCCTCTCCCTCACTATATATATATATATATATATATATATATATATATATATATATATATATATATATATATATATATATATATATATATATATTTATATATATATATATATATATATATATATATATATATATATATATATATATATATATATATATATATATGTATATATATATATATATATATATATATATATATATAATTATATCTGGCACACTCTTCTTCTTTATCCTCTCCTCTCTGTTTTTCATCTAGCATCATTGCTTTTTGAAGTCGTGTTTATGCGTGCTTTTGGATACCCATGCACTCAATTCATTTTCATTTCTTGACGCGCTCCTCTCCTCCGTAGTTCATATCTTGTTTTCCTCCACCATCGGTTCGCGTTCTTCCTCAATTTCATTGATTTCTTGTCCCTCATTTCAATATCATCTCATGTCATGTCCTATTGTCCTTGTTATCTCTCATACTCTGTTTGCTGATATGGATTTCCACCTCATTTACCATTTATTGGCCTATCCCTCCACGTTAGTCAATGACTTTCATTATCCAGTACCATTCGCAATAGTCTTGCTTAGTAATTTCACCCCATCCCTCTCTGTCTTTTTCTTTCCCTCCCACTCCCCCCCCCCTCTCTCTCTCTCTCTCTCTCTCTCTCTCTCTCTCTCTCTCCCGACTCTGTGTGTGTGTGTCTGTCTGGTGGCTATCTTTAGCGGGATCGATCGTACGGAGTGCGCCGGCGGCGGCGGCGGGTCGCAGTAGTCACTGGGACGCCGGACTCGCCGCACATTCATTACCGGACTCACCGCACGCTGACTACCCCGCTGGTCTCACTGTCGGGGTCACTGGCACTGCTTGACTCACTACATGGTGGCCACTCCGCTGGACTCCCCATACATACATGGAAATGGAAAACGGTTCGCGTCTCCGTCGCACTTCCTGCCTGGACGGAGAGCGGTAACCATGGTACCTAAAACATACTACGGAGCACAGGCTCCTTGGAAACTCACGGGCTGCACCTGATACAAAGTGCCCTTCTTCTCCTCATTAGTTTCGGGGGCAGTGACAAGGTATAGCTCTAAGGGTTAATTACGCTAGAGCCAATCAAATACGGAAGACATTTAGTTGGACCGGTTCCAGGCTGAACGTTAATTGACCTCTTCGTCTACGGGATCGATCGAGATCCGGACCAACTCATATTGTTCGCTTTAATTGCAAATATTGCAAGTATTTTCAGATACTTTTGCACTAGCAACTCATCACCTAAGCTTAAAAAATGAGTTGGCTTAGGTCGGGTACCGGGTAAACTCCGGGTCTGCACAGTTTGGAAGCTGCTTTCAACATGTTTCCTTTGGCAATAGCTCATCAAAAGCTGACTAACCTTTCGTTGATATTAGCCAGTAAATAGTGTTTTCATAAAGGCGGCCGCGGAAACTGTGTGCAGTACGTGTAAACAAACTCGAGTGACGGGTTTGATGATGGGGGCTGCAACATCCGGTCGCCGCTGCCGGACGCAGCTGTGATACTGAGCGCTCAGACGCGCCGTCAGCAGGACAGATACCGGCGCCTGAGTGGTTCCACATGGTCAGTCACGGCCACGTGGTCACCGGGTTCAGGACGGCGTGCAGAGACCTCAGCACTTGTGAGGTGCACTTGGCACAAGTCCGCGCGCGTGTGGGCGTATTTACGACTCTGCTTGTCCGGGCTGGGCGCCGTCGAGAGGCTATATGACGGTGTTAGTGTAAGCCGTGACTTCTCCAGATGAGCTTGATGTCAGCGTGTGTCGTGTGAACGTCAGGATAAGGACTTGGAGTGGGTCGGCGTAATACTCACACATACATAAATCTCCTGAGCTTCCTGTAAGGCACAGTAGCAAGGCCACCGTCATAAACAAAAAACGGTGGCTAGAGACCACACGGGGAAACCAACGCGGAAGGCTTAAACCCTGCTCTGCTCGTGAGACGATGTGAGCAGGTGCACACAGAAACATTTTATCAGCTTCCTGGTCAATAATCACTCTTCACGCAATCTGATCTCAGCGGTGAAGCACTTGCATGGAAACTATTAAGTTTTTTTTTTCACGAAAGGCGGTTAGAATCCTGTAGAAGTGGAGTCATGATACTGTTTTAATTTTCTCCTTGGATAGGTTTTGCAGTCATGCAAAAATCCTATATCTGTTTTTTTTTACGTGAAATGTTCTTCATTGTACAGTAATTAAATCACTTCTGACCCATAATTTACGTCAAATACTGCAAAGCTGGAAGAGTACGAAACTCTTTCAATTATGTTAACGTATCAAATATTATGATCGCAGTTGTACATTGAAAAACATGGCAACTTGAAGCATTAGAGCCGACAAATATTAGGAAATAAGCGGGCGTCAAGTTTTAACTTTTCAAGTTGCCGTAAGAATAAATGTGATTTTCAAATTGAGCGAGCCAAGGAAATGCCCATTTAGGGCGAAGAGGTTTACCAAAGCTGAATTTCAAACCGAGCACGACTTTAACTTTGTGACCATCTTGTATATGCAGCTGTCAACCTATGGATGCCGTGTCCATTCTCTATGGCCCGTTGTACACTCCTGTCGCGACTTGTAAAGTCCTTTGCGTTTTATTGTTTTATCGATGTGCTTGAAAAAATGAAAAACCTCGTCCTGCGTGCAATTTTTTTTTTTTACGAAATATAGTAACTGAAAAGTACCAATACTGCAAATCCGCAGCACACAGTGCATTGCAATGCATTGGGCCAGGGGCACAATGCGGTGGCTTGATGGGCATTTTGCTCTCACGGTCTCCGACGCTGTGTGTTGAGGGCAAACAAGCTTATTTTAATGCGTTTTCGATGAGGCGCGGCTGCCTGTCGTTTTACCTTGCAGCACAACGGCTGTATGTTTTGCGGTCAAACAGACACAAAGCTCTTATGTTTGTGACGACCGGCGTGCATTGCTGATTATTTGCAGGGCGTCGATCGTAGGACGACTGATGACCGATCATTATTTTGGTGGATGGCTGATCGGCAATTTTCCTTCGCCCTGGGGTGGCAAAGGCGCTCCAGTATAATGCGGAAGTAATTTGACAAATGAGACTTGATGCAAGCCGGTATATGATTAATTGGATAATTCAATATTTCACGATATAGATAAAATGGAATCCAGACACACACACCGAAAGAATACACTCGCATACTCCCTTGAGAAAATATGCGGACGTGCTCCAGGGGGAAAAGCAATTATATACTATATGTACAATATACATTATACATATATAATGCACAGACATCAATATATTAGGTATATCAATACTGGCTGGAAAACGCAAAGCCCGAGGACCTGCAACATTCCGGATCAAGTGTAACATTTATTTTACTAAACACCGCTCAGTTTGAACTTTTAAGCATATTCAATAATACTATAAGACTGAACGAATAAAGAAGGGCAAAACTGAAGATTCAGAAGTAAGAAAAAGGTGCATCCATCCTGACCAAGAACATTAACCAACTCTTCTCATGATCGTTTAGTACCATCCTTGTGTATGGTTCTGAGCAAGTTGCGTAATGCGATCATTTTTCGTTGTTACATTTAACCGGGATTATTAATTTCAAACCAACATTTTTCAAGTCCTTGACCCGAGCGAGGCAAATTTCGTTATTTTTAATTGCTGCTTTGATTGACTGTGAGTTCGGAAATGATGTCTATGATGACGTCCTTACAGCCGACGACTGATGGCAGGTGTCAGACCCATCACCTGTCTGTCAGAAGCCATTAGAAAGTCGGAACAGTGCTGTAATTTACTGACTATTTTCGGCACGACAGGCTGTGTTCGACGAAACACTTCGGCCGGCCTCGAATAATCGCCGACGGTATCCATCAAGCTAAAAGGACAGGTCTCAATCACAATGGCCACATGTGCTATTCAGCGGCAGCTCTTAGAGGAATCAATCACGATAAAACACTGCGCCTACGCAGCTGGGACAGGCTGCGCTCACAGCACACTGCCTAATATCAATATAAGCAGGGAGACGTCACGAGCTGGCGTCACTCGCAGAGATCGGCAGAATTCCAGATACAACACTATACAAACACAGCCATACTCTGTCGGTTTCGAGCAGTCAACTGCTGGCGATCGCTCGGCACTCGCTACAGCACATTTTCAGCCGAGATCGGGTCGGGCCCGCGATCACCGGGCGGGCTCATCGGGCAAACGTCCACATCATTCTCACACGGTACATGACAGTCCCCATATGGTCCGGGGATTCCAAAGCGCACATTGCCCAAACCGTGCACTCTTCACAGTAATCAGAATAGCCGCGGTCCCCAAAACTGGAGCGGCAGCGGCATAGGTGGCAGTGGAGGCGACAGCGACAGAGGGGGCAGGCACGAGGCAGTAAGAGTGGAAGAAGCACCACCCGTCAAAAGTCAGCGTCACCAAAAGTGACAAGTGGCAGCCACGACAGCGGCCGCGAGAGCAGCAGAGGCAATGTCACTTTATTAACCTCCGGCTTTGAGACCAGAAGAGAACGCAGACTGCAGAGAACAGAGAGATCTTTCAGGCTAACAGAGAACGCAGACGGCCGTCACGCCGCACGTGTCCGGCGGACTTCCCGCTGACGTGCGCTGGCCACGTGTGCGCCGCACGTGGTGCCGATGGCGGCCAGAGATCAAACGTGGCATAGCTGGCGGCGCGGTATGTTGTCACTGATGACCCCGCGGCGGCTCCGGTCGCAGGTGACGAAGGCAGACGGCACTAATGGTCGCGGAGATGGAGAGAGGGTGACAGGGAGCAGATAAGAGAGAAGAGAGAAACAGAGGGAGGGGGAGAGAGGAGACAGGCGTAGATAGTGGCCGTTCCTATACCAGATAAATGGATTATCAAAATGTTTACATGTGGCATCGTCTTCCGCCTTGTTATAGAAAGCTGAGCCTTTGCATGGTCGTTTCAGGGGTCAAACACTGCCGGCACGGACGCTGTCTGTAAACGGTCTCAGCAGTGGGCAATAAATCCTCACCAGGTACCAAACATCGCTCCATCTTATTTAGAGCAGCTCTGGCCGTACGATACAAAGCGCTCCGCTGAATGCGGTAATAAATTCTGCAGTCAGTGGGCCCATTTGTCTTCCACCGGGAGCAGAGGGCAGCGCAGCTATTCATGACCTTTCTCCCATGACAAACTCCATTCTGCATTCCACCGAGAGCGGGCTCAGATGGAGGACGTCGCTCGAGCCGGTCGGAGTGGAAGTGGCCGTGCCGTGATTCATGGTGTCATGACATGCCTTGACCGCACCGTAGCCAACACATCTGGCCGGCGGCGGCTGCTCGCGCCACGCACTGAGTTATAGCCCATCGGCGGCACTCCAAGTTACCCGCTGTACTCACGGTCGTCCACGAGCCGTGTCGGACCAAGTGGTACTGCCGACTCTCCACGCTCTACTCATCTATTGTAACGAATCCATGACAGATGTAAAATGACGATAATAACTCAAGTTTATTGTACAAGACAAAGCTTTCGATACATATAGTATCTTGATCACTGTCAATGAGATGTAGAATATTTGAAAATTCACGAATAACAAAAACCGACGCAAGTCGTTGCATTTCTTTCTTCCTAACATGTGACATTCACCCTATGACACTTTCACTGCTAATTTTGCTGCTATGCTAGACCATGTAATGTCAAGCTCATATCATGTCAACGGCTCATATCATGTCAAGAAATACGTTCAACACAAGAAACGGGTTTATTACATGGTCTAGCATAGCAGCAAAATTAGCAGTGAAAGTGTCATAGGGTGAATGTCACATGTTAGGAAGAAAGAAATGCAACGACTTGCGTCGGTTTTTGTTATTCGTGAATTTTCAAATATTCTACATCTCATTGACAGTGATCAAGATACTATATGTATCGAAAGCTTTGTCTTGTACAATAAACTTGAGTTATTATCGTCATTTTACTACTCATCTATGTTCCTTACTGCTCGTGGTCTACTCTGAGCGCCCCAAACCGACCGACCAGCAGCGGCCCGAGTGTGGCCTGTTTATCCTGAGGGCTACCGGGCCGGCCAGCCGACCGGCCGCCGCCGCGCGGCCGGACCCTGTTAAATACTGCCGGTGGCGATCGATGCTCTTTCTCTCTCTCTCAGACTCCCTATCGGCGCCGCCAGCCGCCGCCGCCGGCAGCGCCGTGCCCGGCTGACGTGCTCAAGTGACGACTCAGATGATGTGCCCACCTGGGACGGACCGGGAGTGGACAGAGGTCTGCTCTCGCTGCTGCTCATGCGGCCGCTCTCGCCACTGCTCTCGCCACTGCCGCCTCTACCCCTCTGCCAGCCGCACCTGCACAGCGCACAGCCTACCTAAGTTTGCAACCACGGGTACATGGGCGGTGCGTACGAGGGTCCGTACAGGCCCGGCTGACAGCGGTCCCGGTGGGCGCGGAACAGTTCGTTCTGGCGGTTCATGAACGCCTGGTACTTGTCGAACTCGTTGCGCCAGTTGACGATGTACTCGTCCTTCCAATGCGCGAACTGCAACTTCCACTCGGCCTCAGTATCCGAAATGTCCGCTGAAAACGGAGACCGACTGTCAGACGAACGCAACGTCCAGGATTGCTTATTATGGAATGAAACTTATGTTATCTATATTAGTAAATAAGAATGAAATAAAACAGACAAACAGCGAAAGAAACAATGAGTTGTTAGCTGCGGTAAAGATTGAGGCTGGTAAGCGAAGATCGCTGCCGGTATTCCGAGTCCGACGTCCGTACCTAAATCGATGCGAAGTGACTCCACTTTCTGCTTTATCATGCCAGTTAGTTCAGATAGATAAATATTTCTAAATCCTATATTTCTAACACGCATTTAGCAGCACAACTCGAAACTCGAAAGAAACCGTTTCAGTCGTCTGTGCTGTAGCGAGCGGCACTGACGCCAGCGGTAACTTCAAGATCCTACACGAGATGGCAGCAGTGGTACGCGCCTGATCTGATGCTGTGCCGCACGGCCTCAAATCGCTGTGACCGGCGACAGCCTGTGTAAACAATTCTACATGTGACTGTATTTTTTTAAAACTTTGAGCAATTGATCATGTCATTGGCTAAGAGGGAGGAGCACCATACTCTTCAGGTGATCTGAATAAATTATATGTAGTGCACACGGACGTATAAATAAACTGGACTGACAATCCCAATGGACCTCCTATGGAAGATAGTGAAGCCGACAAGGCGCCATTTTACGTTGCCAAAAAACCGTGCTCTGGAAGGCCATCGAGCCAATACAATAAGAATTGCGTCCAAACGGATGATCGGATCGAGATGCTGGTGGTACCGTTCGACGGGTAATTCCTTGAGGCAGGTGATGATGGATGTCACATGTCACCCGGTGTCACATGGCGCGTGCCACGTGCCGACAAACTTACAAAGGGCAAAAACCTTTAAGCGACGCTTCAAATCAAACGAAGGGCGGCACAGGTGCCAAACTCACAGGTTATATGTCCCAGTGTTCGACCACTAACATATGGTATGCTCGGCATCAGGGGGTGCGGAATGCACGCGCTAGTGGCGAAAAACATGTTTTGAGGGGGCATCCTCCGATTCCGGAAAACCTTGACCTAGGCACACCAAATTTGGCACACTGACACTACTGGACACGCGCTTTAAGGTGCTGTACAAATAGGCGTGCTGGGGTACACGGTGCACGTGCTGTGCACGTGCAAACCTTTTGATGTTGCACTCCAGGTGTCACATATGCGGGTAGGGGGGTAGCGCTGGCAAGCTCAAAGTGCCAAATTTACACAGGCCACCCATAATGTATTCCAGCATAGTTATTAAGCATATCCATCTCCTGGTGGCCCCCAAAGGTGCGCTCTGCACGTGCAAAAAAAAAAGAATATCCGCACCGGGCGGTGGGGATGATTGGAGTGGACACCCTATGTGGATTTATATATAAATATCTCGAAAACGGCGTTGTGTAGCGCCGCCGTTTTCGGCACACCTTTTCATACATCTTTTTCACAAATGCTGCATAACTTTCAGACTTAGGTCGCTCAAGGTTAGGTCACCAGGTTACGTCCAAGTGGCCTTACCTTAGGAAAATTATAATGCCCGTCATAGCTACACAGACTATACAATCGGCTTAAAAACGTGCAGCAATGGATAAGATCAACAGTATATAGGTACGTTGAGTACCTACCTCTACCTCGATTTTTTTATATTGAAAAAAAAAATTCAATATCACTGACCTAGGGTTCTGTTGATTTTGCGACCTCAGACCACCAGCACGGCAAATAATTTATTTTGTCAAATTCGGACTCCTAAACTTTTTGCTACCCAGCAACGCAAATTTACGCCTCAATCGCCGGCCAGCGCAGCATAGGCATCTTTGTTATCTACGTTGTTTGCGCCTGCAGTAATACTGTACCGCAATAACCATTATCTTCATCTTTCACCCATAGATGGCAGTAGCAAAGCGCCTGCATCTATGCTGTGCCGCAGTGCTCTTACAATACGAGCTGAGCAATGAGCATTAAGCAAGCAAGTGATATTGAAATCATAGGCGGCGGAACGAGGGGGCACCGGGGCACCGTGCCCCCCTTTGATTTTGGCATTTTAACATAGCCCTTTCCATGCAACATAGGGCGTTGCATGGAAAGAATAAGACCAAAAGTCGGCAGTGCCCCCCTTTAATTGAAGGTGTCCCGCCGCCACTGAGTGAAATTCCGAGGTAGAGGTACTCTACGTATATACTGTTGCTCTTATCAATCACTGCACGTTTTAAACCGATTGTTCAGTCTGTGTAGCTATGACGGGCACTATAACTTTTCCTAAGGTAAGGTCACTTGGACGTAACCTGATGACCTAACCTTGAGTGACCTAAGTCTGAAAGTTACGCAACATGTGTGAAAAAGATGTATTAAAAGGTGTGCCAAAAACGGCGGCGCTACACAACGCCGTTTTCGAGATATTTACATAAATCCACATAGGGTGTCCAAGCATCCCCACCGCCCGGCGCGGATAATTTTTTGCACGTGCAGAGCGCACCTTTGGGGGCCACCAGGAGATGGATATGCTCAATAACTATGCTGGAATGCATTCTGGGTGGCCTGTGTAAATTTGGCACTTTGAGCTTGCCAGCGCTACCCGCCCTACCCGCATATGTGACACAGAGTGCAACATCAAAAGGTTTGCACGTGCATAGCACATGCACCGTGTACCCCAGCACGCCTATTTGTACAGCACCTTAAAGCGCGTGTCCAGTAGTGTCAGTGTGCCAAATTTGGTGTGCCTTGGTCAATGTTTTCCGGAATCGGAGGATGCCTCCTCAAAACATGTTTTTCACCACTAGCGCGTGCATTCCGCACTCCCTGATGCCGAGCATGCCATATGTTAGTGGTCGAACACTGGGACATGTGACCTGTGAGTTTGGCACCTGTGCCGCCCTTCGTTTGATTTGAAGTGTCGCTTAAAGGTTTTTGCCCTTTGTAAGTTTGTCGGCGCGTGGCACGCGCCATGTGACACCGGGTGACATGTGACATCCATCATCACCTGCCTCAAGGAATTACCCGTCGAACGGTACCACCAGCATCTCGATCCGATCATCCGTTTGGACGCAATTCTTATTGTATTGGCTCGATGGCCTTCCAGAGCACGGTTTTTTTGGCAACGTAAAATGGCGCCTTGTCGGCTTCACCTGAATGGAGGTTGTTGCGGGTCCAGTTTATTTATACGTCCGTGGTAGTGCATGACGCTGCAGCCTTCCTTCTACAGCCTTCCTTCCTCTACAGCCTTCCTGTAGTTAACCCTTACCGGCATTTGTAAGATATATGATGTGGAACACTAGCGTATTCTTTACCAGTTCATGATGCTATGATAGCTGTGCCATTAAGTCGAAGTATGTAGCGAAGCGACTGTCGCCTGTTTGCATTAAGAATAGGACTACGATAAATAGACTCAATGCCTAAATTGCATGTGTCTATAACATATAATTACGAGTTAGACCGACAGATGAGTAGTTAGTTATTACATATGCACTTCAAACCACAAACAGCTTCATTTGACGTACCTTTGGTGAGACGAATATGTTAGTTTTGAGTCCATCTTCGCACTACGCACAATGAAGACGAAATCACGTATCACACCATGCACTTGTTAGAAAAAGAAACCACACACCCGTTAGGCTAGTGCGGCATTAGAAGTTGTGCCGTATTTGGTCAATTAAAACATCTTCGTTTCCACGGTTTCAATGGAGCTGTTGTCAGGATCTGTATGAAAAGTGTCCCATTATTAGACTGAGCAATATGTTGTGCTGGAAGCTGCGGCCTTATGCCGAGCTTTCCTGAATCCGTGTAAATGTGTGCATGTGATATACATAGGCAACTGTTTCCTTGTGGTGGCAGCAAGCTAAGCACACTTCGAGGTCAGTTGCATTATCAGACACAGGCAGGGGAATGCACGGGAGGGTACAACTGTCCGGAAGGAACACATGTATCATCAAGGGCAGATAATTCGACAAACTCACTACGCATACACTGTCTATCGTTGATCTTGCAATTCTGACAATTTTTCGAATTATAAATTCAGCCATCAGGCACGCTGTTAATAGGTTATCTGGTAAGTAATTTGAACTTTAGTTAGTTACCAAACGAAATAGTTAAAACATGACTTGATATATTTCAGCTTGCATCTTCATTCTTCATGAGAATGATTTCATAACATTTCCATGAGGGAGCAAGTCGAAATAAACTTCGTCAAGCAGATTATCATCCGAATGGGTTATGCCATGCGCAGTGGAATCGATATCTTATACCTTTTGCCCCAAACAGCTCAGTCTCATCAGACTTTACAATCCACATGTATAGAATCGTGCGGCATATCCTGCCTCAACATATCCTACATGCAAAACTCCCAGTAAAAGCAACTCCATTTGAACCCTGTCTTACCGGTTGCAGCCTGCAGGTTGGGCAGGTGCTTTTGCCAGAAGGCGCAGCGTTTGATCTTGGGTCCGACCCCGACCGCAGATGAGTTGACCGAGAGCGTCAGGTAGCTCCTGTCGTGAACTGAGTGCAGCGGCCAGTAGTCCAACGACGGCTTCAGGCTCGAACCGCGGTTCGGGTTCCTGTAAAACAGAAATGTTGGTAAATTGGCTTTTCAATGTTTTGCAGACGTAACGAAACGAATATTTGTAGCCGTAGTGGCATAGCCAGATTTATTTTGCATCGATTATTTGCACATGCATAAAACGACATGAGAGCAGTATTGGTTCAGCTTTGTGTTACTAAGAAAAAAGTATTGATAGATCTCAATATACGGATATGCAACATGAAACGCGTTTTGCAATGGCTCCATATTGTTGATATTTCTGATATCATTCACCTTTCAGCTAATGAGATATACGTGTCGGGGTGCTGGGGTGCCTTTGTTTATAGCCAGCATAATCATGAAAATGACCGCGTAATTTGATGTTGAACGTGTGCCCTGCACTTTGCACCGAGCCTGCGTCTGAGCTACTAATATATGACGACTTTAAAGCCGCCGGCGCTTAGTGTGCTTGCAACAAGTCCTGAAATAATGCGACGTGGCTGGTCATAAATGTCAAAGCACGGCTTCAAACGTGTACGTATACCAATCCGTGCCGACAGTGGACACACGAAGTTCGAAAAGCGTTTCCAGGTGCCTGCTGTGCCTGCCAGTGCCTGTCCCCTGGAGCTCACGGGTAACGCCCCTCTCGCCGGCGGAGCAGGCAGCGCCGATGTCTCATCACCCGCTCCCCCTCCCCCACGCCTGGCTCTGCGCTGACATGACTAACCGGGCCGTCGCCAGTTAACGTCCCGCTAAACCTGGCCTCGTGCAACAGGTGCCGTGTGAGACGGCCACGACGACCGGCCACCCCGCGCGTGAGCTCTGCACGCTGACGGCTCACACATGCCGCCCAGCCAGCGACCGCCGTGGAGACACCAGCCCCGAGACACGACTGCAGGATACAAATTTAGCCGGCCGGCCGCGTCGGCCGGCTGCTGGAGTCAAGCCGCGTACCATGGTGCGCGCAGTGTGTGCGACACCAGCCGGCGCAGTCACCAATCATCCAGCGGTCGGCGCGCCAGATCGGCGCCCGATCTGGCAGTGGGAGCGGCGCGGACGGACACACTGGCCAGCCGCCGCTATTGGCACAGCTCTGTCAGTGACGTCGTTAGCTGCGGGCGTAATGAGTGCCGCCCGCCGGCCGGCCTGGTGATAGTCCGCCCGCCAGCTGCCGGACCGCCGTCCGCCCGCCAGGCCGGACCGCAGCCCGGTCGCCAGGCGGCCGGACGGACGAGAAGGGCGCCGCCCCCGCTGCCGGCGCACCATCGAGACCGGCAGGGCCCCGCGTGGGATGGGCGGGCCGGAACCCCGACCGGGAATGTCGCTGGCTCATGTTTCATCCAGCCTCATTCGCCATACCCGCCGAGCGATACGCTCATCACCGATATATGGTTTCCGTTCGTGTCGGCATGCTGCTATTATGCGACTGTGGCGAATGGGTGATGGGGTCTGGGCGGTGGCCCCGCGGGAGGTCGGCCACTCGCCAGGGGCCAGATATCGCCGGCGGCCCGAGCTCGCTGGAAGCTCGGTCCGGGAAGGAGCGGAGAACGCAGGCGGAAGGCGCGGACAGCGACCGGAGACGGAGGCAAGGACAGGGAGGAGAGGAGGGAGGAGGCGGACACGGGTTGGCAGGAGTTACGAAGGGGAGAGGAAGACGGAAGAAAAGATGTAAGGAAGCGGCTAATGCGACGAACGGGAACCATTCGGGCTGGTGACTGGATGGCGCCGTTCTGATCTTCATTTTGTGAAAGCCATGAGGAGCACTAACGTAAAACGCTTCTCGGTCACAGAACCAGAGAAAAAAAATCGATTATTCAAGGAGCGTTGCTCGACCTTTGGCACGGCCATTGCGTGCTGCTGTCATCGCTTGGCGATAGCAGACCAGCAGCGGCGGCGGCGCCAGCAGCAGCGCTGTTTGTCCGTCAATGTCCAGCTGAGGACCTCGGCGGTGTGTCGTATAGGTGTGTTTGTGTAGCCCTCTTGTTGTGACAGCGCCGCACGCGTGCCGGCGCGCCGGTCACACGGACGCCGCCCCGTGCCATTTCAGGGGACCCGGCTGAGCGGGCGGATCACGTTACTATCTTGATCGGCGGCTCTTTGGAGCAGTGTTTGCCTGTTTGCCGATCGGCTACGGGCTACAGCTCGTCGATGTCTGTCTGCCCGATGGCGCTTGGGGAGGGGGCTGGGGAGGGGGGAGGCGAGTGACGGGTGCTGACGCCGTTCGTGTGCCAACTGTGACGTCAGACATGACGTCAGCGGGACTGTGTGGGAGGAAATTCGGCTGGATCTGCGCTCTGTCCCATGGTTGATTCCACTCTGCAAAACTCTGTCGACAGCTTTTGAATCATCCCATGTCAAACAAATGTACGCCATTTATCAGACAGCCATGAAGCTCTCAACTTTCTGACATCATAAATCCTCGCGCTGTCAGTTGAATTTCTTTCCACTCCCAAACACTCATCCCTCACCTTCAGCTGCGCGCAGTATCTCATCTCCAATAATACTTGAGTTATTCTTTATCCTCCGTCCTATTCCATCTCTCCCTCTCTCTCTCTCTCTCTCTCTCTCTCTCTCTCTCTCTCTCTCTCTCTCTCTCTCCCCCCCCCTCTCTCTCTCTCTCTCTCTCTCTCTCTTTCCCTCTCACTCACTCTCTCGCGCGCTATCCCTCCTCCCTCTGTCCCACAGCATTTCTCCTCGTCTCCTTGTCTTCCTACACTCGTCCCTGTCTCACATACGTTGTATCCTTGTTCTTCTCTGCCCAGCATCCCTTCTCTGTCCCACAACAGGCCTGGGCCCGTGTCGGCGTCCCTCCCCTCCTCTGTCCTGTCGGGCACCTCTCTGCCGGTCGTATATCAGAGGGCCGTGTCGGTGGCGGTCCGACTTACATTCCCCGCGTCCCGGGCCGCCGGCCGCGGCGCGACCGTCGCTGCCGACGGCGCGGCCCGCGCAGCGCCGTCGGAGCCGACACTTCCGGGTGGATGGCCCGGGCAGCTCTGCAGGCCGCGCCGCCCGGGACGGCCCAGGTGTGCGATCGAACCGAATCCCGGCGCGGCGCGAGCCAGCAGCTGGGGAATAGCCCGGCCGGGCGCGCGCACCTGGCACCCCACACGTGGCCCGGGATTGGACGCAACTGATCGGGATCGGAGCACACTCGGACGGTACACAACTGGAGTCTACATACAACCCTCAGCTGAGAGCACTTAAAAACTGTCATATGAAAATCACTGGGACTTGATACAGCGCAAAAAGAATGTTCGTATGACCTATAGGTAACAAGTAGAGTCACTTAGATCCGGGCCAGAGCACATCGTATAACTTGGACTTTCAAGTAAACTCTGGAGGGTCAATTCACCTTTCTGCATTATAGTGTCCATCCAGGTAATGGCAATCAGACCTTGACATTTAACTTCCCTCGAATTCGTCATCATTTGACAAGTTCGCTCCTGACTGCCCTGACGGCTACTATAATGAAACCAAATTACAGACGTAAAGCCGGCGGTGTCATGCCACTACTTCCTGAAGACAGAAATGGCCCGCACTCATGCTCTGGCGCGGCAGATCGATGCTCGTGACGTCACCCTGGCTGATGAAAGCAATGTAAGGGGTCCATTTGACGTCATCTCATGGAAATAGCTGAGACCTACACCGCTCCATCATAGCGTCGGCAATTTATTCGTACCGCAGAGTGAAGACCAAGCGTGGCTTCATGGTGCTCCATTATGCCAAACTAATGATAGCTAATGGAGCCCATTGGTGCTTCCTCCTTCCTACTGCGATGCATTCAAATTTGTTGTACGATAACCGTTCATGCACGATATTACAAACATGACTGTTACCTTCAACTTCAGGGTGTTATTTGAGAGTAGCACCGGTAAGCAAACAAATGTTACATGCGGCATTTTGAAATTCGAAACTTACATTGACTGTTAATCAATCACCTAAATAAGTGTCCTTGACCTATCATGGACGTAAAACACCGAAATAAACGAATAGTTCCAAACGACAGACACATTTGTGTAATCGATCTACTAAAAATGCAAAATACATTCACCAATAATTGGAAATAATTCAGCTCCAGCTCGCCACAACAGAGCTTAAAATAGCACGGCTCCAAAGTTTTACCACCGCTCGTCGCCCGAAATAGCCGGTTGCAAATGTCAGTGGCGGGTCGACGGCTGCATCATTTTAGTCGGGCGGCGGCCGGGCGCGCGCGGCTCGGCCGGCGGTCGCCGTCTCCATGGCCGACCGCGGGCCGATAAATAGGGCCGATCGACGCGCCGCCCCGCCGGCCGCTCGGTGGCGTGTGTGTATGTGTATATCGGCGGCGACTGTCGGCGGCCGCCCGTGGCAGACCGACAGACAGGAAATGCGGCCCGCCGCGGAGGAAGCGGCGCCGCCGGCCACCACGCCGGTCACGTGGCCACGCGCCACGCCTAGACGACGCGCTATCGTGGCGTCACGTGACCACGTCAGATCCAATCAGCACCGGTATGCGCCCGTCGGCCGGTGCTAATAGAAATGTAAGCGGCTAATCCCGGTGGCTCTCTCGCCGACGGCCTCGCCAACTATCGACACGGTGACGAGCGCTGTCATATTTCCGGCAGACGGCCGGGGGATCCACCGCCACTAGTCGGCATAGAGACACACTACACATCTCTAGCAGAGTTTGACACAGTACCGGATAATCACAATGTTCCTAGCTGCAGAAACTTCTACGTAGTTGCTGACCATGGTCGCGTGGAAGAAACACAAGTACATAGGTATGTAAAAACAGATAAATATCATTCCGGTTTTGAAAGCTTTCCTCTGCACCAATTTCAATTTCTTGCTCAGTTGTGGCCCGTCGTGAAATGAATTACTCAATGTCATGAAATCCACCAATTCTATCCGTATGTTTGCCTAACCATCAAGCTATAGGCACTATCAATCTAAAGTGACCCCGTGCAGGCTTTCCTGCCGTCTATAAATACTTAGCATATACGTCTGCTGCGCTAAATCGCCAATAACTATCGTAATAATTGCTCGGGGGATTTATCGCAAAGATGACAAAGCCGACGAGGCTCACTTTTGACAACATTTCGCCACGAAAGTTACCAATACAATGATCAAACTGCAGTTGAACATCCGCAGATGTTAAGCGGAAACATCAGGAGGAGTAGATACAAAGGCATCAAAGGAATCAAAGGCAGGCTTGCCGACTGAGGTACTCACCCAGTTTTGGCGAAGTTGGCCCAGTAGCGCATCATCTTGCTGGAAAGCTCGGCTTCCTCTGGTGTGTAGTGTTTGGCCGGGTTTAGCGGCAAACCGAACACGAACAGGATCTCGTCGCCGTGCAACACGCCCATGTAGCGCGGCCACGGCGACACGCTGCTCCTCTGGCTGAAGAAGTACATGTAGACGCCGCTGTTGGCGCGCGCATACACGTCGGCCACCTCCATCAGCCCGCACGTGAACTGGTGGTCGCCGGCCATCTCGTCAATGGCATCTCGCATGTGCGCTGAGCTCTCAGTGTTAGCCCACGGCGTGTACTCGAACGCGATGGCTGAGCGGGCCGGGGTCGTGAGCCGCGGGTGCAGCTGCTTCACGGCGTCCAGGAACATCTCGTGTGTCACTTGCGGGTCTTCACGCAACCCGAAAAGGTCTGTCAGGTAGTATAAGAGGTAGAAGTAGCCCTCATCCTTGTTGCTACCCATCAGGAGGTTGACCTTTTTGAAGTTGCCGCTGGCCAGAGAGGCTCGTGGCGTTTCCACGAGGAAGGAACCGTCCACTACAGGCACGAAAGCAAAGTCGCAGAAGTCGGTCAGAAAGCCTTCCGAATAGACAAGCGTCTTGGGATCTGTACGACGCAGACATTCCAGGGCAGCGACTGGGTTGGTGTCTGGGCATTTGACCGCTTCTGCGAGCCGCAGGCCGCGTAGCGCCGCCTCGCGTTTGTCGACCACCGCCCAGGGGTTGGTGGCCGAGCCCGACTGCAGGATGGCCTGGCTGAACAGCGAGCGAGACAGCGGAGAGACCAGGTGCATGTTGATGCTGGCAGCTCCGGCCGACTCTCCGAACAGGGTGACGTTGTGCGGGTTGCCGCCGAACGCGGCGATGTTGTCCTGCACCCACTGCAGCGCCATCAGCTGGTCGAACATACCGGCGTTACCGGGCGCCGCGGGCGTGTCCAGGTACAGGTAGCCGAGCGACGCCACACGGTACTGGAACGACACGAACACAACGCCCTCCTGAGACGCCAAAATCTTGGCATCGTACACATCCAGTGTCGAGGTACCGCTGTAAAATCCGCCGCCGAAGATCCAGACCATGACGGCTGCGGGCCGCGCGGGCCGCGGCCGGGGAGAAACCACGTTCAAATACAGACAGTCTTCACTCATGGGTGTATTGGCGTTCCACATAGAACTGCCCTCAAAGTCACCGAAATAGTCATCGACCGTCTGCCAGCACGAGTTGGGCTGCTGCTTGGCGTCACGCACGTCATGCCAGAGGTGCATCGGCTGCGGGTGCTTGAAGCGCAGCGGGCCGATGGGCGGCTTGGCGAACGGGATCCCTAGCCAGACGTCCACCTGCCGGCCGGTGGCGGCCGTCTGCGTCATCCCCCGCACCAGGCCCTTGTTGGTGCGCACCACCAGGCCGTCCTCGTCGATGCTCTGCTGCGCACAGGAGCGGAGCGGCGCCAGCGTCAGTAGCGCTAGCAGCGACATCGGCAGCGGCGCCCCTGCGGCACACAGGGGCGGGGCGGGGTCAGCGGGCCAGACAGACTCAGCCACTCAGCGCAGTCGTGTTCTACAGCACGGCCAGAGGCGGGACTGACTGACCGACACGGGACGCCAGTTACCAGACTCCGGGCGGCAGTCTATTCAGGGAGGGCGAGGCAGCATGATACTAATCAAGCCAGACAAAATAGAAATGGTTTTTCGCTGTGCACAAATTAGCAACGAAGTAAATACAAATGAAAGCGATAAGGGGCCTAGAAATAGACACAAGGAAAACATCAAAGTAAACTACCTTACAACAAGCACAGAGTTGATGCAATTATTTCGGTGGAGCAGCATCCCCCGAGAAAGAAGCATCCCTGCCATGGACGGATGGGGATGGGAAAGGGGCCGCTGATTTAGCGGTGAGATGGTCCAGTCGCGATGGGGGGGGGGGGGGCTGGAGTCGGTATTGGGAGGACGGACGGTCGCACAGGAAAAAGATGGGAGAATATTCGATCGCACTGGGAAGGAGTAGGAGTAGAGTCGACCGCTGTGGAAACAATGGAGATTCTGCCATGGTGGCAAGGAGAGCTGGGGCTGCCTTCTGCGGCGGGAGATGGGCCCAGTCAGTCCACCGGAGCCGGTTAGCCGTCGTCACCGGCACGCCACGCCAGCTAATGTCTCTGCTAGCATGTCACTAACGATGTTGGCCCATTAGCGTCCGGTGGCCGTCGCTGCAGCGGCGAACGACAGAAAGAGCGCCGCGGTGCCCAGAGGAGTGACGGCGAACGGCGGACCACCGCGGGCTGTCCAGACGCCCGCACCGGCCGGACGAGCGGCGGCGCATGGTCAGCTTGAGAAGGGGACCTTCTGTGTAATGAGCGGCGACCGTCGGTAAGTGGTGGGACCGTCTGTTCAGGGAGCAGGTATATCGTTAGGCCGGAGGGCAGACTGTCTCGGTCTGAGGAGAGGAGTGGGGAGAGTCGGCCGAAGGGGCGGAGAGCGTCGGCAAGGACAGACGATCTCGGTTTGTGTTGGGGGGGGGGGGGGGGGCTGTCGGTGGAAGGAGCCGGGATCGTCCGTCCCGAGGAGCGCCGAACCATGGGCCCGTCCCGTCCCGTCTGCCAGCGGTGTAATGGCCCGGACACTGGCACCGCCGTCCGCCTTGGCAGACCCACAGCAGGGACAACAAGAGATAAGGAGAGCGCCAACTGAGCGGACGCCATATTTGGTCATGCATGATCCATTGGAGCCCCGCCCTATCGGGCATGTGCATTGTGCATGAGCACGCCTACAGATACACACTGAGGGAAAGAGAGAGAAGAGAGAGGGAAGAAATAGAGGGAGGGAGAGAGACGGGGTGAGCGAAAGGTGACAATTATATTCAAAATACAATCACGCAAATCACTGTCATAAGTACATATGTGTACTTCGGGCTGCTCAGGTCATGGTACTATGCTTCGTTGTGCCATATGTACAAATGTGCCAACTGTGACTATTCTTCTCATATCGTACATTAGTTATGCTCATGCTGACACAGGGCATTTCAGTTCTATTCTGATATGTATATCTACCGATTACACATCATGCCATGGCCGCAGTTGAAGTGTTCCGCTATTTGACGTTCCGCCGAGCAGCACACACCTTTATTTGGGGAGGCACAAAGGGCCCCGTTCCGTGGCGTTTCACTAACTGAATACTCCCATATGCCGGTTCGATGAATGAAAAGAGTTTACTCTGTCGGAATGTATTGACGTCTTATGGTCATCGACTGCGGGGCAATCAATCAAGAAGCATTACTTCAGGCTTGGTGCTGTCAGCCACTATCCAGTCTGTATGAAAATGGAATGCTTTACGAATGGTCACCCATGACTCATCAGGTCTTTGAATGGTTATTGAGTTCACTTTATAGCAACATTAGTGGGACGTTCAGCAGCCCGTCTTTCCAGCATGCTTTTGTTGAATGACAGTCATATGTTCATGGCGTGCTATGGGTAGTGAAACGGTAGTGAGATAATGATAACGCGTTATTGCTGTTACCAGTTAGCGTAGTTGTGTTTGATGGATACAACTCGGAAACGCGACTTTGCAGCTCCTGTAATGCTCTCGATAAAAGAAGCATGCGCTGAACTTGCACGCAAGTGGTTTAACCGTAAGCTACGGCTGTGTCCTTCCGGTCAGTGTTGGGAAGAGAATAATGCAATTGAAGACAATTAGCGAGACCATTTGTCTTGATGCTACAATGCAGAGTCTTCGTCAAAGAGCAAAGTAAGAACAAAGTGCACAATAAACTAAGAGCAAACAAGACCACACATCTGTGTAGGTATTCATGCTTGCTTGTAGTAACTAATCATCAAGTAAAAAAGTTTATCATGAATTCCATTCAAAAGGAAGTCAACTTGTCTACTGAATATGCCTGAATGTTTCAGCAAAAGGCATTTATTCCCCATTCCACCAGGATTTGTTTGATATTGGTGCAGCTTACTTGCGCTGGACGGTTAGCCTTGCCGCGGTCTGATGGAGGCGCTTTGCCTGCCTGTGCGGTAGTGCACAGTGTTTGTGCCAATCGATAGAAAACAGAATGAGCTGTGATGGCTGATAAGGTCACGTTTTTTTGTAGGACTCGATAAGGCCAAGGACGCGGTTCTCGCCCTATGCATCATTCCTGACGCGGTGTGGTTTTTGTTGTGTGCCCCTCTCGTTACGGGTGCTCAGTCCAGACTGGAGTGCTCTTTCACAGTTGGTGATGGACGAGGAGGGATGACCGCCATCGGTGTGGAGAGTCAGAGGTGTATGTATAATACACAGACAGTGACATATTGCCCTCAACTAGGACAACAAAGTTTCTAACCAATGTTAACCCGGCAGGCGGTGGGCCTCCCAGCCACCTTCCGTGTGGTGGGGGGGGGGGGCATTTTTTGCCCCCCTCGTATCTCCGAAACTACTGGACGGATCCGGAAAACTCAAACGGCGTTCGATAGCCCTGTCAAATTTGTCGAAGGAAACCAAATTTCATTGACCTCGGGGTCACCGATGACGTCACAGGTCAGGTCAAAGATAAAATGTTTCACCGTTCACGGGGCTTCTAGGGAAAGCGCTATAACACCGAGTAAAACGCATTTTGTCGAAAATCAGCGATAAGGCCTCAGTTGTCTAGTACATATGTTGCTATTAGAGGTCACTGGTCATACCAGGTCAGGTCACAGGTCAGGTCACCAAAGGTCACCAAGGGTCACCACATGAACCCAACTTTACTAAGGTTATGCGATGCATGTTTTATGGCCAGTTTTTTATTTCCAACTCAATGGTATTGGTTATAAGACCATCAGGTACGGTTTAGGTCACTTTCTGGTGGAGGTCAGGTCAAGGTCAGGTCAAAAGGTCAAATTTCAAAGATGATATTTTTGCATAAAATGGGTATCGATTCGATGCAGCTCGTCACGGGGAGTCTAATGGTGGTCTTTGTTTCGCGCTACGAGGTCTAGAATTGCTAAAAATTGAGTTTGAAAATTTGACGTCATCAATTTTGAACAGTTGTTTCGCTATAACTTGGCCAAAAAAGAGGTATTGATCTAAAATTTGGTATGTAGATAGAAGGCGGTAGGGACTATCACATATATTCCGGTTTTTTTCGAAATTCAAAAAACGTTTGGGATTTTTCGGCTATTATTAAAAAAACTATTTTTTATTTTTTGGGGTCAAAATTCAAAAATTCCGAAAACCGAAATAGAAGTTTTGTAGCCCTTTTAATTTCACACCTTTTATGTCGGATCATTTTTCTGTATCTCTAAAGCTGTAGGCCTGACAGCTCTTTCCGCGAAACTTTTTTTTTGGGTCGAAAATGGCAAAAATGACGTCACTCTGATGTCACTAGCGGCCAACCTATCATAGCCTTTGGAAAATTTTTGGTCACCATGTGCGCTAGCTACTCCCGGGAGGGTACTGAAAGTTTGGTGACGATCGGCGCAGCGGTTCTCGAGATATATCGAAAAAACTAAAGGATGGGGGGCAAAAAAATGCCCCCCCCCCCCGCCTGGAAGGTTAACAGATTGGATATGCTTTCTGATTAGCAAAGGGCCATTCAGCATCTCACAAAATGTTATTTTATTATAACAATAATATTTGCAGTTCTCCCAATACGATTGTAAGAAAAAATATTGCAGTGCAATGTCATCAACGTACCTATACCTACAGTTTACGACTTGGCGAGAGCATGAAGTGGAGACAGGGTCAACAATAAACATGGACGAACAATCCCGGGCCAGATGTTATCCTAATGATTCACGTTTTTTGCGTAAAGCCTTTATTACTTCTCCCATGTATTTGACTGCAAACAGTTGATCGGGCATATGCGGCACGTCATTTGCAAGTACTATCATGGCTGGAGTGGATGTGCTAAAAATAGAAAAGTCATGAACAGTAGTACCTCTGAAACACGGGGCAAATAACGTGTTGTACAAAAACAGGGGTATCTCTGTATACCTACAACATCTCGGTTGACGGTTACTGCAAATAAACCTAAAATACCTAGACCTAGCCTAAACTCTACACCTACTAAAGTGAAAGAGTGTTTATGGGAGCAGTTTCCGTGAAAAGGCCGCTGACATGTTACTGAAGCGATGTCTTCGCTCTGATCTTTGTAGGCTGGGTCAACCGTAGGTTTCCTAAAGTACAGAGTTGAGTTCAAGCTCACGTGCTTATCGAACAAACCACTTAACACTGCCTCATTCATCGCCAAAATAGCTACTTCAGTGGAGACATGCTTTATTTTAAGTGGTTTCATAAACACGTAGGCGTCTGCAATGTCGCGAAAAGCCGTTCTTCGTGCACTGCATTATGTCTTGAAAAGTAGCAAACAAAGTTTCAATTCAATGAACACATGTCAAGAATCCGGAGAGAATTCAGCCCAGCTGTGTATCTGTTGAGCGAATGCAGTTCGACTTACGGCCAGCGCGACGCCATTAGCAGTTCTGCAGGCCGGCCTACTCCCCGGGTATTCAGCTGACAAATGAGATGTCTG